GACGCGGGGCTCGAACTCACGGACCGTGAGATCGTGACCTGGCTGAAGTCGGACGCTTAACCGACTGCGCCACCCAGGCGCCCCGAGTTTTTCTTTTAAAAGAAATTTTTTAACGTTTATTTATTATTGAGAGACAGACACAGGGCATGAGCAGGGGAAGGGTAGAGAGAGGGGGAAACACAGAGTGCACATGCACGTGCTCTCTCTTTCTCAAAATAAGTAAAAAAACTTTAAAAAAAGGATACAGTGTATTACCTGTATCATACAAAACACGTGTTAATTGACTGTTACTGATAAGGCTATTAACAGTAGGCCATTAAGTGTTTGGGGAGGCCAGAGTTACACATGGATGGATCTTTGACTGCATGGGGTGGTCTGAGCCCCTAATCCCCACGTTGTTCAAGGGTAAACTGTGCTGCACTCTAAGTGCATATTACTTATTAGCTGGTTTGCAGCTCAGACTCTGAAATACATGACCCAGCCCATCTCTGCAGTGTGGGAAGTAGCCAGGGGATCTCTCAAGTCCCATAGGTCTGAGTTAAAGGATTAACCAGGGCTCCCTCTGATCACAGTGTTTGCAGCATGCAGCTGAGCCTCCTTTGAGTAATATTGGCGTGTGGGATGGCACAGATCTGGAATGGGAAACATTTCTTCCTCAAGGAAAGCTGCTTACCGCCCAGCCCCATACTCACTTCCTTTTTACGGCCCCCGCTTGCTTGCTTGCTTACGGCCTACAAACCACTAGGATACACGTTTCTTCTTTCCATAAGTGCTTCCCCCGGAAGCATTTATCTACCGCGTTAGGATTTGTCTCCGTTAACGGAGCACCTTGCAGCACCGGACTAGAACTCTTGATCGGTAGCTGTTTGTGTGTATTTTTGTTTTGTCGATAGGAGTCTCCCGTGTGAGGGACTTGTCATTTAACGCACAGCTTATCTTTCCACTGGAGCCACCTCGCCTCTCCCACGCCCTCCCTGCCTGCCTTGCTTGCCGCCCTCATTCTCCCCACTGTTCCCGACCCTCGGGGAGATGTATCTTGTGTATCTTTTGGCACTGCTAGCTGCCGTAGGCTGGGTCCCCGGGGCTCAGAGCCAGGTGGGGCCGCTGCTCCTGCTCCGCTTGCCCGCCTCTGCCTGGTGCGGTTTCTTTGACTCCTGCAGAGGGTTTCCTGGGAGAGCTCCCGTTCCCTCGGAGGCGTCATCCTCCCACGGCAGCAATCCAGTGCGGGGAAGGGCTTGGAACCCTTAGGAGGAATAGAGCTTCTTAAAAAGAACACTCGTCATCTAGACAGCGAGCCACGGACTCGGGTACCTGTTACACCTGCATCTCCTGGGCCTCCTGCTCCATCAGGACCCCCGAGCACGCTGCTCACCTCACCCTTCTGCTCTCCCACCTCACCCACCCCTCCGTCCCTGGCAACCACTGCCCGATCCTATGTCTCTCCTTGGTTTTAGTTTCCTCCTTCCTTCAACAGATGTTTATCTAGTTCCCCGGATGTGCCAGGCTTGATTCTGGGTAGGCTGTGAACAAAAAAAAGGGTCCCTGATGGCGAGGAGCTCGCTTTCAAAGTTGGGGGGGCGGGGGAGGTGGTGCAAGCACGTGACAGATAAACGAGATCATCTGAGAGCATGTAAATGCAGGGAAGCGGGGTGGGGGGCTTTGCAGGTGGAAGCAGCCGGCCAGTTGGGAAACAGGGTGGCACTGGTTTTAAGCACCAGGCCTGGAGCCAGACTGGCAGGCTTTGAGCCCCAGCTGCAGCCTTACCAGCTCGGTGCCTCAGTTTATCTGTCACTGCCTGCCTCTTAGGACGGTTGTAAGGACAAATGATTTATACAGGTAAAACCCTTAAATCGTACCTGGAATGTACTAAGTGCTTTTTTTTTTTTTAAATGTTCATTTATTTTGAGAGAGAGGGAGGGAGAAGCAGGGAGAGAGAGAGAAAGGGAGAAAATCCCAAGCAGGCTCTGCAGTGGTAGCTTGGAGCCCTGCACAGGGCTCGATCTCCCGTGAGATCACGACCTGAGCCGAAACCAAGAGCCAGGCACCTAACCAACTGAGCCACCCAGGTGCCCCAGTAAGTGCTATTTCATTTTAAGCTATTACTACTGCAGTTTTGAGACCAAAAAAAGAAAAAGAAAAAAAGTGGGCATTTCCAGCACTTTGCGCCCGAGCTGATAACCCCTTGTTCTTTTTTTAAACCGTTTTATTACGGTATAATTGACATGTGAAAAGTTCTGCATTGATTCAGCAGCACCTGTCCATTTAGCCCCTGAAACCGCCTTCCAGAGTTACGCTTCTGGGGTCACCCGGCTCCGCCAGGCTGCTTGTCCCCAGCTTGTGCCTTGCGGCCAGTGTCCCCCAGTCCAGGATTACCCTTCACCTGCCTCTTCCTGAGCCCAAGCCACCACTTCTGCCCCTCCTGGGGGGGGGGGGGGGTCACCTGAGTCTTTTGCTATGTTGACTTCCTCCCCACTGCAGACAGACAAGATCAAGCCTTTCTCCATAACAAAACCAAATCCAGTCTTCCTTGCCCCTGTATCGCTTCCCCCTGCCAGCCTAGCCCCTGCATCGCTCCCCCCAGCCTTGCCCCTGCATCACCGCCCCACCCCCCAGCCTTATCTCTTTCCTTTCCTTCAGAGCTCAGCTCTTTGCCAGACTTATCTGCACTCTCGTGTCTTCTTCCTAGTCCCCCACCCTCGCTGTTACTCCTTCAACCTCCAGTTGGTTGCCTTGCCTGCTGGCCTTTCCGGAGACCCCGGTCAAGGTCACTGAAGGGCCCCCAGCTAGCAAACTGAACCAGCCTCTCTGTGCAGGGCTCATCACGGGGAACGGAGCACTCGCCTTCCCTGGCTTCTGGGGCACCACCCCGTATACACGCACACACAACCTTTCTTTATCTGCGACTTGCTTTCCAACGTCCTTTGCGCTTCTCCTGGTTCCTGGCGCCCTTTTCTGACTTCACTGGTTTCAACTGATGTTTATTTCCAGGCCAGGCCATTCTCCTGAACTCTCCACTTACGTACCCAATAGCTGAGGGGTATCTCCACTTGGCTGTCACAGACCTCGTGATTCCAGCGGGTTTAAAACTCAGTGCATCCTCTTACCCACAGCCCCGCTCCTCCTGAATTTTCCCTGTAGGACGCCAGCCCCTACCGGATCACCTAAATCAGAAATTTCAAAACGTCCTTGCGTATTCCTCTCTCCTTCCCTCCTTCCTCCCACCTCCCTCTCTCTCTCTCTCTCTGCCACCAGTTTTTCCCCACATCCTGTGATTTCTGCCCCCCCTGAAAATCTTTGACATCTGTTCCCCTCTTGTCTGCTACGGCTAGCATAAGCCCTCCTGTTTCTCACCCGGGGTATTGCTTTTCATCTTGTCCCTTCTAGATCCGTCCTCCACATCATCTCTAGGGTGAAACTCGAAAGAACGAAATCCTTTGGTATTACTCACCTGCTTCCAGTCCTTCGAGATGAGATCCGCAGTCTTCCTGGTTGGGTCCCTCCCTACAGAGCCGTTTGCAGTGAATATCGCCTGTATCTTGGCCCCTGCCTCCCCATCCCGTGCCTGCTTCCTCACCTGCCTTAGCTGGCACTTCTCCAGGTGGTGGTGTGCCCTCTGGACAGGCTGCTCTAACCCCTGCCTGAGTTAGCTGTCCGTCCTCTGTTGCCCGGCACCCCGGATCAGAGGGGACACGGCCCCCTGCTGCATCCGTGCTGTGTGTCTGTCTCCTCCGTCAGGCTGGGGAAGCCTGGAAAACACAGCTTAGGCTCATTTATTCTTATGCCCGGTAGATTTCTGTCACACACAGGTGCTTAATGAATGCTCATTGAACAAATGAAATCAGCATATGTCCTGCGGCTTCTAGTTACAATTCACTGCATCGAGTAGACGTGGTTTAAATAAGCAATTCAGAAAGTGGCACTTCTCTCCACTTCCAGGTCCAGTCCTCTCACCCTTGCACAGGTGGGAATCCACACAGCCCAATCTCCTGTCTCCCAGTTTGCTAGAAGGTTTCGTTTTTTTTGTTTTGTTTTGTTTTGTTTTTAAATATCATTTCTTGTCCTTTCAGCTTCTGGGTCCCAGGAAAGTGGCAAATACCAGATCCCCCTCTTGTCTGTTAGGACCTGAGGAAGATCGTTAGCTGTGGGTCCACCCTCTAGACCTTGCCTTACCCGATGTGCTAACAGGCACGGCGTTCCGTCCACCCCAGCTTACCCTCCCGGTGCTTACAGATCAGTTACTGTACTGACCTCCGCCCATCAGCCACAGTCAGCGATCGATCGTGAAAACCAGCTGTTTTCTCAGCCAAGAGGGAGAATTGGGCGTGAAGGGTGGGTGGAGACGTCAGGGAGCCAGTGGCCTCTCTAGACATGACAGTCCTGAAGGTGAAGTGCCGGGAAGGGAGGACCCTGGCCTCGGTGGTGCCCTTCCCTTCCCTCCCTCTCTGTCATCCCCGCAGGCCGCCAGCTCACTGGAGCCGAGAGGGCCTCCACGGCCACCGCAGAGGAGACGGACATCGATGCAGTAGAGACCCCGCTCCAGGGGAACGATGTCCTGGAATTCAGCCGAGGTGTGACCGACCTTGACGCCGTAGGGAAGGAAGGAGGTTCCCACGCAGACCCCAAGGTAGGCAGGACGTGACCCGTCACACCGTCTGCACGCATGCTGCCTCCTGGAGCACAATGTGCTGCGGCCTCGGCCACCGTCAGAGTCCCCTCCTGTACCCGCTGGGTTAGCTTCCGCGTGCGGTGCATACGACCAAGCGGAGCAGCTTTCGTCTCCTCTGCGGGGGCCTGGCTCCTGCAGATGGGCCCGGTGGGCCGGCGCTCGACCCTGCTGTGTGTCAGGACACCACAGAGTCACCCTTGACGTGCGCCACCCTCCAGGGTCCCCTCTGTCCTGAGTCCCCTTCTCCCCAGAAGTCCTGCCCTCAGTGGCTCCTCATGGCAGCCTGATACCTGTGCAGAGCTAAGCCTCGAGCACCAGGACTGATCCCTTGGGGCTTAGCTGCTGGAGCGGAGTTCGTCCAGGCTCCCTCTGCCTGCGGCCAGCGACTGTGCACTTTGGTGCTGCCTCCTGCTGATGCCACAGAGGCTGGCAGTGCGCCCTTTGGGGGCCGGAAACTGCGAGACCACCTGAGGCATCATCAACTCCAACCTCACATCCTACAGCTGAGATGGCGGGGCTCCCGAGAGGATCCCGATAGAATCCAGACTGAGAGGGGTGTCTGGGTGGCTCAGTCGGTTGACTGTCTGACTCTTGGTTTCGGCTCAGGTCATGATCTCGTGGTTCATGAGTTCAAGCCCCACATCGGGGGAGAGATTCTCTCTCTCCCTCTCTCTCTGCCCCTCCTCTGCTCTGTCTCTCAAACTTAAAAAAAGAACTTTTTTACAAAAGAATCCAGACTGAGAAAGTGATAACT